GTGTCTGTGTCCATTGGTTAAGCTCATATGCATGCATACAAGTCCTTTAGTTGCTCTCTAAGTAATTTTAAAAATTAACTATAGTGGCTTGAAAACATGAAAGTTAAGAGAAATCATTGCTGAAAATAACACTTGTAAAACATACCTAAAATAATGTGCCTAGATGGAATATTTGCTATTCAGGATCAGGTTTTAAGAATATAATATTGTGTATGATTTTATGTTATGTTACCAAAAATCAACTTAGTAACAAAATAATAACTTTTATATCATGGTTACAATTGTATTAAGAAATAAACAGTTGTTTTCATTATATAAGTTTTTAAATATGCTTGTTCTGTAACCACATTAAAATGAAGTAAATATATTTGTATGCACAGAATTGTTATACAAAAATCTAGAGAAAAAAACATATTTCTTTAATTAAGTAAAGATAAATTAGATTTTAAGTCCTACATTACGACAAGGACTTGAAAATGCTAACATACTAGGTCACAAATGAAATATTTTGCAACATCAACATGATCTTCGGATACAGTGATTTATGAAGATACATCAATTACTTAAATAAAAGATCTTTATGGCCTAGAAGATGCAACGGTAGCCTTGCATCTAGGCATACCATTTGTCTGTTAGGAATGTACCAGTATTTCCTGAACATCTGATCTTGAGATAGAAAGCTTAATCAGACATAGAAGCAGCAAGTACATGAATATAAGTGTAGTGCTCAATAATGTGTTACATGATGAAAGAGAAGTCTGCTGTGGAGGGTCAGATAACAATTTATCAGTTCTACATGTCTATCTTGGTTGTCTATTTGTCTTTAGTAACACCTGAAGGGATTTTGTCTTTGGATTTTTTTTGAATAATACTAATAAACTAAAATAATATTATGGGTAAAAACCACATACTGATTCCCTTAAGAATTTCTTAACTTTCTTATTTCTACAAAAATCCTTTTTTTTTTACCACAAAAGAATAAATTTATTTTTATCATAAAAAATGTCATATATATAGATAAGATAAACAACATCAAGCAAAATCCTTCTACCATGATGAAAGCATTGTGCATTTATGCATATGTATTTTTAATGCAAATTGGTTCATAATGTTGTTGGTTGTAATCAGGCTCTTCCACAGGATTGTGAGAAAAGCATTTCAGCGACCCACACACTGAAGATTGTGCTGTGGCAAGGTTTATTTGTGATGCAAAATCAAAGGAGTTCTCTTCCTGAGTTCCCAATGTCCTATCTCCCTCCATCCCACCATGGAAAAAGCCAACCGTGTCTTCAGCAAGGTCCGAACAAAGGCCATTGTCCAGAGTCTCTGCTGCATATTAAACCTTAGAGCCCACACAGTCTGCTGTGGACCCCAGGTGGCCACTAGCCGGCATAGTCACCTGTTACAGGAACCTGCAGGGCAAATGTGGCTCAGGAGCCAGAGAGAGCTTCTTTGTTCACCTGGGATTATAATTAGGTGCCTTTCCAAAACAGCCAATCAACTTCCCAACCTTTTGCGGGCTTCTGATGGGTCTACCCCTCACCCATGATCCCTTGCTTTCCCAGGTTAGACTGACAGGCCTCTATGGTCAAGCACCTCCCCCTGCACCATTTTGACTCACAATGTCTGACTTTCTTTGCTTCCTTCCTTTATCTAACTAACTATGGTAACAAATTCAACCACATTGTTTCTATTCCACTTTTTATTTCATATACAATCAATGAGCAACTCTTTACCAATACTTTTTAAGGGGCCAATAGTATTCCATTAAATGGATGTACCATAATTCACTAATTCATTTCCTTACTAGTTGATTGATGAGTTGCTTTTGATTATACAGAAATGTAATCAGTCTTTACTGAATAATATACAACTTTGTACACATTATAGATTATATCATGAAAGTAAAAAAACATATGGAGTTGAACTTTTATATTAAGTAATATTTACATTTTAAAATATTTTATTTATAATTTTAAGTTAGTCTCCAAAAATGTACCATTTTGCAAACAGCACATATGATAGTGTCTATTTTTTTGTATGCTTGCCAAACACTGAGTATTTAATTATTTTTCCATATTTTTCAGTTGACAGGTTAAAGTAACAGCTAACTGTATTTTTCATTTTTTGTAATACTAAGAGGGTAACCTATTTTTTTCTTTGTGCCTGGTCCAGGAGTATTTCTGTGTGTGTTTAGGGGGGCGTATATGTGTGTTTTCTATCTGTGCTATTTTGCTTGGTTTTCAGTTTCTAGTGCTTGTGTGTGTGTGTTTCTTATTGATTTATAAGATCTTTTAAAGCATTGAGGGAGGTTTTTTTCATCATTGAATATTGAAATGATTTTACCCATTTTTATTAGCCTTTTTTACTTTTTATCATATTTTTACATCTCAGAATTCTTAGGTCGTACAGTTATGTCTACCAATTGTATCCTTGATAAGTTTTTGTTATTATTTTTCCCAGAGTGATATTTTCCCCAAATTAATTGATATATAAATGAAATATAAAGTTGTGTAAGTTTAAGTTATATGACATGATGATTTGGCATATGTATATATTGTAAAATAATTACTACAATAAAGTTTGTTAACATTTCCATCACCTCACATAGTTACCGTGTGTGTGTGTGTGTGTGTGTGTGTGTGTGTGGTGAGAACATTTAAGATCTACTCTCTTAGCAACTTTCTAGTATACCATATTGTTAACTATAGTCAACAGGCTGTATATCATATAGAAATTATTCATCTGATAACTATTTCCTTCATTTTCTCTCCCTCCTGCCCCTGGCAACTACCATTCTCCCATCTATTTCTATAGTTTGGCTTTTATAGGTTCCATACATAAGTGAGATCATGCAGTATTTGTCATTCTCTGTTTGACTTATTTCTTTTTAAAAAAATATATTTTATTGATTTTTTACAGAGAGAAAGGGAGAGGGATAGAGAGTTAGAAACATCGATGACAGAGAAACATTGATCAGCTGCCTCCTGCACACTCCCCACTGGGGATGTGCCCGCAAACAAGGTACATGCCCTTGACCAGAATCGAACCCGGGACCCTTGAGTCCACAGGCCGATGCTCTATCCACTGAGCCAAACCAGTTAGGGCTTGACTTATTTCATTTAGAATAATGCCTTCAAGTTCCATCTATTACATTGCAACTGGCAGGTGTTTCTAATTTATGGTTGAAAATATATATGTATAACATTTTCTTTATTCATTGATGGAAATGTTGATAC